GGTATGATCGTCTCGTCCACTACAAGACCATAAGATCTTTCACCTACCTTTAATCTGCCAGTTGGTGCTATGCCACTACCCAGTCTAACTCTAAAACTCCTACTAGTGTTGACTCATCATAGGCTAATAGAGAAGAGTAGGGCGACTTACCCAAACATAATTAAGCATAATAAAACATATAATCACTAGAACAAACACATCTATTCATTATCCCTAATATAATTCATTCATCTACATTATAAACCTAATATAGGGTTTGGGGGTTTTAATCCCTAGAGAGGACTACTCCATAAAGGAGGGAAGAAGAACATAGAAGAAAATGAAGAATACTTGATAGGGGAGATGGCTCCTTCTTCTCTTCTTCTCCTTTCTTCAGCTTATCTCTCTAATCTCTCTAGAATCAAGAATCTGCCAAAAGCCATTTTCTCAAGGGGGAAAAGGCCCATATTTATAGAATTATGACATTTCAGACAAGTTCGCGGTCGTGAACTTATGTGGCGAGGCTGCGATCTCGAGTTAACATCTTTATGCGTTGAAAACTTGGAAATTCGCGGCCTGACATCTCGATCGTGATCCTGGATGTTACGGCCTTGATCTTTCTCGCGGACTTAGAAGAATGAGACTATGAGTTGACTGCTGAAATCTTCTCTCTCGTTGGCTACCTCTCCAAGTTCGCGCCCATTGCTCTAGAGATCTCGGTCACGATCTTGAGGGTTGAAGCCGCGATCTTGGTACTCTACTTTGATGCACCTTTCCTGGCCATGATCTTCACGTTCGCGGTCGTGATCTCTCATTCTTGCTCCATTCTTGCTACACTTGTGCCATTTTGGTACCTAATTCGTACATATCATCTAATACACCCTAATACAATGATATATTCTTCAATGAGCGAAATTGGGATATATTTGATGATGTATCAATCAATATGCACATGACACGACTCATAATGAACCTAGATACGAGGGATAAATAACACCAATTTAGGTGTTATCAGCTGCCCTACTCGATCGAACGTCATTCGATCTATAAGGCGTGACACCTCTAGAGAGAAATTCAAAGGTTTCTTGTTGCTCATCAATTTGGGTAAATGCTTCGACACAAGGTGGGATATAACAAAGTAAGAAATTGACAGGTCATATGCCACTGAGCTTCGAGGGACGTATGGTTAGGAGTCCTAGTGGGAGCTTGCTATGCAACGCCTTCCTTCTCTGATCTCTCACTCGTCCAACATAGATTAGATTTACTTTTCATCATCGCTTTACTCTTTGAACTCTTACGTTCTGCAAAACTGAAGGAACATCAACCTCCTAAAACCCGATCTCTTCTTCAATAGAACCATACCTCGATTTCAAAGTAAGGGTTCTACGAGAGACCATAGGAAAATACGATCCTGGCCTTAGAACAGGTAAATTCGGCCCGCACTACAATCGACGATCAAGATGCTACCCCTGACGACTAACCTTACAGATGCTCGTCAATTTCAGGAGTGCCCCGATATCCAGGTTTGATTTTGTTACTTACTAGTTCTTGTGGTTGCGCGAAATGGTCTCATTTTTTCACATCGTAAAAACCCCTGACAAGTTATCACAGAGGATCCTTATATGGGAGGTCGTCACTCAGCAACACAAAGTAGCGAATCATACTTTATCACTAAGGAGGTCATGACCGCGTCGACACGTGGTCGTGGGGTGGAGACCGGCCCTGACAGTGGATCACAGTGAACTTGGATAGGTCGCTCATGTGACCATCTAGGCTAACGCTTTAGGAGGAGCGCTTAGAGACTAACAGGGTCGCTTGTTAGGGACCTCTACGATGAACCTGAGAAAATATTCCATTACCCATGCAAAGTTTTGAAGGCCCTCAAAGGCCTCGAGCTAGTGTGGGATTTAAGATTTCGTGAAGTGGAGCTACAAGTTGACTACAAGACGGTGGTATTTCTTCCAAGAAAGCATTTCAACGATCACCAGCACGCCAACCTCACCTTGGTGTTCGAGAGCTGTTATGACGTGATTCGACGGTTCGACTCACTCATGTTTACCGTGAAGTCAACTTGTTGGATGATTAGTTAGCTCAAAAGAGGTTCTATGACCCTAGGCACCCATGTTATAAGCACTTATAATTAAAATGATTGTTGTTCGGTACTTTTTGACTATGTAGGTGATTTTAGTGTCCGTTCGATTATTGAATAAGTAGTGGCACTTTTCACTCATTTCATAAATAAAAATCCCCTTTTGTTTTAAAGGTCAAGGTTGTTAGCCCGATTTAGCCCGTTAGCCCGATCGAACAAGTAAGTTGAGAATTAATAGTATGACTACTTTAGCTTGGATATATGAAAAAGTCATTATATCGTTCTTACATTTGTAAATCATATCAAATACCATCGAACATATGAGTAATGACATTACACTAAAATAATAGGTCATACTTGAATCCAACATAGTGAAACTTCGCACACGCTTGTATAACATCAAGGGTAAATGCCACATTTGTTCACTGAGATTATAAATTGTGTCATGTTTAGTCACTATAAAAATTTAATATCAATTTTGGTCACTCGAATTACTGAAACAGGTCACATTTAGTCACTCTCCTGTTAGCCGCCGTCCAACTCTGGTCACTCGAATTACTGAAACGCGTCACATTTAGTCACTCGAATTACTGAAATATGTCAAATTTAGTCACACTCCCGTTAGTTTCCGTCCAACTCCATTAATGAAGTTGGACGGAAACTAACGGGAGAGTGACTAAATGTGACTTGTTTCAGTAATTCAAGTGATCAAAATTGATATTAAATTTTTCTAATGACTAAACATGACACGATATAGTAATCTCAGTGACCAAATGTGGCATTTACCCCATCAATATTCATTTGTTCAACTTAGAATTCCAAAAAAAGGTTTAGGCGAAGAGCAAAATCGAAAAAGATGCCCATTTCGCAAACCAAATGAAAAAACGACGTTGTGTGACCTCCAACTCAGTAACCTTGTAGCGGGTCGACCAACGAGTAACCCAAGAATAACGATTCACCGTTATCGGGGAAAATAAGAGATTATCAGCTGAGCTATTAGCTTACTCAACTGAATAGCTAAATAACTGAACAAAATATGTCACTCCAATGTCAACAATCAAAATGGAACAGAACGACACCCAAGTCCCAACATGAAGTTTGGCTCTTCTGTGTAAAAATTAATGGCAAAGGGCAACTAATAAGTACACCCACGCGGATGCCGTGAGCTTGAGGGAGTGCGGTGCGGTGGTGTTTAAATAAAACCCCAACAGTTCTTTTATGAAGAGGAGAAGAAATGTCAGCTTTGATTAATGGTCTTCTTGCTAAATGCTTAAGCAGAAACGTGAGTTCTTCATCCGAAATCTTTTCCTTTTCCGGGACTGCATTTGTTTCCATTGGGGACGAGGAGGCAGGGCGATACCGTAACTTCACTAGCTTGATTCGGACAGTTTTCAAATCTGATGAGTGATGATAGGCCCACTAAAAAGTTTCGGTGCTTTTGAAAAAGTCACACTCATCTCATGCAGCCCAGCGGTCCTCTACTTACGAAATTTTTTATTGATTTTCAATTAACGATATCTCACTCGTTTTATTTCGTATTTCATAAATAAAAGTAGGCAACAAAATAAATTTTTGTGCTATACAAAATTATATATTGTAGTATTCTTGGAGCAAAGCTTTTCATGTCATCTTAGTAATAATATTATTAATCCATGATATGACACTGGTGTAATAGTGCTACTAGTTTTACCATAATGGTAAGATCATTATGTGACAATGGTGAGATATTGTTATGAAGTATTATACAAACATGTATGTTTTGAATGACTCACAACATATTGTCTTCCCTAATATGCGAACAAAAATCATTACAAGAATCTAGTATCACTACGGAAAAACATATATACCATATCAACTGAACTGGCTGCCATGGTAACATTGGGATTGTAATTGGAATTGTCATCTGATAGTTTTTTTTATGTTTTTTGGGGGGTTTTAGCTCTTGGCCACTTGTGATTTGAGGGAACAACAGACCACGTGAACGATGGGCCAGAGATATGAAAGCATGCCCACAAAGGCAAATTCGTGAATTAGCTATCACGAAAAAGTTAAGACTTGGAAAGCCAATATATAATAATGACAACACGTTTCCTTGGCTAATGTTACAATAAACGGCATCTGAGCCTTTTGTTTTTAGAGGTCGTTTGGAAGTTGTGATTGTTAGAGTTGTGTTTGTTAAATACATGTATTAAGCACAATACAATGTTTGGAAGTGTCAAGTTGTAAAACAATGCATGTATTGTTTTGTGTAGGCCCCACCAACAATCACAAAAAATGATGTATTATACAATCTCAACTAAAAGTTGAGATTGTTGTGATTGTCCTTTTAGATTTGTGTCCACTTTTTCTTTCCATTTATACCCCAATATTTTTTGTTTTATACTAAAAGGTGAGGGTAAATGTGACATTTTCCTATAAAGTAACTTTGTGCAAATCAATACATAAACTAGAATCTCAACAACCAAACAATGTATTGTCAAAATGCATCTATTGTATCAATGCATGTATTTATATTGTAGTGATTCATTACAATAAAACGATTTAACATTCGCAACTTCCAAACGACCCCTTAGTTCATTCTTATTTTCCTTTATATGGAAGAGAAGAAGAGTGAGTAGCATTCTCAACATGAGCCAGTGTGTTGGTGTTGGTGTAACTGAAAATACACAGCTATCAGTTCTCCATCTAATTAATATAACGTTAATGAGTTCGGAGTCGCAGGCGATTTCATCCAATTATTTTTGTTTCTATAGGTTTGCGCGGGTTTACCCAGTTTAACATATCGGGGAAAAGGAATGAGGAAGGATAAGACGGAAGAACGAGAAGCCGGCCAAGCAGTTGCTTTAAAAAGGCGAGCTACAGGAGTAGGTAGTTAAAGACTCCATCTTCTGGTGGTTACTCTTCGGTGAAGAAAGAGAATGCAGGAAAGGAAGAGATAAAGGAATCAATTAGGTGGCTAAGAAAGTAACCGGAAGTTTAAAATAGCCTTACAATTCAGTAACAGAAGACGGTGTTGACTTAATAGACCTCGATAGAGGGCCATGGCTTCTCCGGTGTGTCAACCATTAATTAGTCGAAGTAGAATTAGCCATGAACCTAAGTGAAAAATGAAAGTTTGGAAGTGACAACTTCATCTTCGATAGCGACGAAGGAAATGAGATCACCGACGAGACAACAGACAGAGGGTTGGAAAGCAAATGACAGCAGGTGGGTTTAGACTTTAGAGACAAGGTTAGGTCGGGTCGGCCAGTGAAGTTGACACTGAACCATCAGGGACAAATCGGTCGAAAAACGAAGAAAAAAGAAAGGCAATGTTATCCTCATCAAAGCAAAAGAAGGCACAACTCAAAAAAGAAACAACTATAAAAGCATTATATATTTGCGAGTGCCAATCAGTGAGCCCCATCCTTGCTGTGTTTGCTTCTACTCTTCACGACATCCATATCAATGTTCTCACTCTCCATATCCTTCTCTTCACTTCGTGTTGTGATTGCGATCACAGTCATCAGAGGAGCATTAGTTTAACACATGGAATCCTCAGCTTCATCATTGCCACCTGCAATCAAGAATATTAGGGAGGAGTAGTACTGCTATACCATCTATGTTTAGAATTCTCTTTAATCACGAGGGTTTGATTTGGTTTCATCATTAGGATCTGATTACACACGCCATGATTTTATCATTGAATTGCCACACTGTCATTTTCTAGACACCTATTGCTAGCTTAATATGATGCTCCTACAAACTTCCCTTCTTCATGCATCATTCATCTCTTCAGGAAATGACAAGGTTGCGGAGGGAAGTTAATTTTACCTTGTATAGTTTGTTTTCTCATCAGGATCAAAAGGTTAAGACTTCCTGTAGAGGTTATGGTCCTCGCTCTGTTGATATGTCTGCCAGTGTCCCCTTGTACCTCTGCATGTTTGCTGGTATAACTTAGAGACGGAGGTTTACTTGGCTCGGCAAGTCAATCTGCATGAGGGACTAGAATGCTATCTCTTGAAGGACCTCGAGTGTCTTTTGGTGAACCTGGATTTATGAAGACAACATATGACTTAGAAATTGAAGCATAATTTGGTTTTATGATTGCAGATGTTGGGGTGTATTAATAGGAAGGGTTATTGATATGAAATACACATGATATGTTCCACCTAAATTTCCTCCAAAGTATGGGGGAAGAGGACTCTACAGACAAGCACAAGTGTACAAGTCATACTAGGGGAGAAAGGGAAAGGGAAAGTTACCCATTCTAGATGTTGGGCTGTAATACCAGAGACATTCCCGGAGTATAGACCACCAAGTACCTAACAAGTCACAGAAACAAACATAAAATGGATGTCACATTGAGGTACCCAAATTGGTTGAATATAGTCTCTACAGGACCAGCAAGTCTTAATCACATCAATCCCAACATGTTTAAATCGGCGGACAGAAAATATTTCTATTTGACACATTAAAAGAAACACTCAAGTCTCCAAATCAATTGATTCTAACAGGGAATCAAAACCTATCGGTATCCCTAGTTCAGGTCACTATTATTATAGTATAAGGGGATTGGGTCATAATGCCAACAGAAACCAACCAAGCGAGAGTACCTTGGTTACAGTCTCGAGAAAGATACCAGGGCGAACTGGAAGTGGCTTTCGGCCAGTGACACTTCCCTGCGTATTAACAAGGAGTAACATGAACCTGTAGTGCTATGTTGTGAATCGAACCAAAATCTCCTTTATAACTCCTATATGTAAGTTCTAACTCACCCTTCCAGCAATACCCTTTAGATTCCTTTCATCGCTGCTGTCTCCATCCCCACTGGTGTCATCAGCACCTTCATCCTTGCCTTCCATCACATTCTTTATCATTTCTCGGAGAGTTTTCCCAGGTTTTAGGGCAACGATCTTGGTTAAGAAGTTCACCTGCAACATGAACAAGAACCCCATTTCATTGCCAATCAATGATTTTGAACAAGAAAGAATTGTTGAAAATCACATCTAGATCCGTTCCAGGGAACCTAACAACAACAAGTATACTGTATAATCAGGTGGGTACTTCTGATTCAGGAAGGGTGGTAAAACCACGGTCATTTCTTTCATCCAGTATTCCACCTCCCATCATGTCCCTGGCTTCCTCTCTGATCAACACTAGCCTTACAAGTAGTTTGCGATCAGGTATTACTGGTCGAGTTTCCATTGTCTAAAACAACAAAGGAAAGAAAATGATTAGACTTCACATTGTCTCAAATAGCAGTACAGACTTTTCACTTGTTATATGAAATGCTTGACACTGTTCTAATTCTTTCAATGTTCAACCAACTCATAAAGGAGTTTTCAATTGAATGGATTTCGTCACATTACTAGTATAATTCCCATATTATAGCCTCAAGAAAAAACAAAATCAAAGGAAAGCAGCAGCACCCAGCACTCAAAAGACTCCACATAAGGAACTAGATATTATTACCTCAAGCAAATCATCCGCCTGGTTAGCTATATCATTTAGATTTGCTCCGGGGATATGAACTTTAGTGCCACCTTTTCCTCCAAAGGCACCCCCTCCAGCAGCCACTCTACGTAGCAGCTCATGCCTGCTGTCCTTTTCCGGGGTTCTACAAAGCAAACCAATTACTTGAACCTGCAATGAGCTTAAGGATTCAGTTCCAAGCGCTCATGGGTTATAACAAAAACAATGTGAAAACTGGACCAAGTGTACTTGTGCCATTATTTAGGAGAATAACGCTCACATGAGGAGGGCATTTCTTGGTCAAATGTGCCAATACTGTTTCCTTGATAACTTCCAGCAGTTCCTTTCGCTGCAAACAGCCCCATATACTAGACAGTCAAAAATCAAAATTCCACTTCTAAATCTCACCAAGCCAGAATCCGAAGAACACAGTCAACTTGGAATCCAGCCATGTTGATAAGATAAGATAAACTCAGACGACTTGAGGTTTGCAGTTACGGAGACAAAATTCAGCACCAATGCGACCAAACCCATGAGATAAGATGGAAAATGTATATAAAATATCAGAATAAAAGAAAATTGAAGTAACCCTACTAGGATGATTTGATCCTGTTCTTAGACCTAACAAAACCTATCAGTTCAAATAACCAGCAAAGAACGTGTGCTGAAGACTTAGAGCTCCACCACAGAAAAAAAAACAGAATGCTTGAAATCTATCAACAGCAGCATAAATTACCTTATCGTCTTGGTCTTTACCGGCAATGTCAATCATATAATCAAGGGCCATCATAAACCCAGATTCCATCTCATCAACTCTTTTCCCTATCACCCCCTGTGCTGCTATTTCAACCGCCACTTTCTCAGACGCTTCATCCATGTTCATGTCTTCCAGCTGCAGAATTTTACAGGTACAGCGTAATCAATAAACTCTTACCAAATGACGGGAATCCCGAATCACGAAAAGGGGGTTGATTCTGAACTTCAGTTTGAACACGCAGGAGAGTCTCAGTTCAACCAGCCCAACTCTACCTAAACCTCCAATGACCCATTTTCGAAGGAAGTAGGAGAGCAAGAAGGAACTTACAAGGGTGATCATCTCCTCAAGGACGGAAGTGACCTGCTCACCGCCCCTCAGGAGAGCTTCGTAACCAGAGGTGTCGGGCTTGTCATTCCACTCTTCTTTTGTCCTGGTTTTAGTGCTTGGTATCCCTAATTCCTGCTCCAAATACCTCTCTGCCTCCTCTTTACCAGCGCACTGAGCCACCAGCAGCGGCTGCTGACTTTTCTTGCGTTGTTTCAGCTGGCAGCGGTGATGGTGGAAGGGTGGAGAAGAAGGGAAGAAACAGGGAGGGGGAGTTCGACATTGGAGAGGTAGGACTGGGTTGAAAAAAGCTGCGCCACTTGAGGAGGACTGGAATCCGATTGCTTCCGGCAACATTTTCGGGGCGAGGTTTGGGGTTTTCGGAGAGGGAGCCAGAGATGGAGAATCGACTCTGGATAACAAGGTTGTCAAACCGGTTTATACCGATGTACCGGTTTGGCAAGTGGAATGGTACGACCGGTGGTATAACCAGTTTGTGCCGGTTCATGCCGGTCTACAAAAATGAGAAAACAATTAATATCCAATGTATTTAATCATATATAAAACATATTTGTGGACAATTTAGTTACAATCCAACAAATATCATCAACTTTTAACTATTACATTCATAAAATGAATAATAAATTATTATTTTTATTCATTAAATTCATTAAAATGATGTCATTTTACTTAAAATGCGTAAGTCGATCATACCGGTCATACCGGTGGTGTCATGCCGGTTTCATGACCGGTACAGGTTGAACCAGGTTCAACCGGGTGGCATGCCACCGGCATGACAACCATGCTGGATAATCATCATTTCAGAAAGAAGAGCAAGTGGAATGGTACGACCGGTGGTATAACCAGTTTGTGCCGGTTCATGCCGGTCTACAAAAATGAGAAAACAATTAATATCCAATGTATTTAATCATATATAAAACATATTTGTGGACAATTTAGTTACAATCCAACAAATATCATCAACTTTTAACTATTACATTCATAAAATGAATAATAAATTATTATTTTTATTCATTAAATTCATTAAAATGATGTCATTTTACTTAAAATGCGTAAGTCGATCATACCGGTCATACCGGTGGTGTCATGCCGGTTTCATGACCGGTACAGGTTGAACCAGGTTCAACCGGGTGGCATGCCACCGGCATGACAACCATGCTGGATAATCATCATTTCAGAAAGAAGAGCAAAAAAAAAAAACAAAATTTGAAATGAAAATGACAGAGATTTTTAAAGCGCCGTCTGTGGGAATCGAACCCACGACCACGTGGTTAAAAGCCACGCGCTCTACCGGCTGAGCTAAGACGGCTTGGTGACCATAATCTTAGCTTAGTATATTTAAACGCAACGTTATGTCTAGTTGTGATTAGCATTTAGAAAGACACTGAGAAATCGAAAGGAAGACAAGTGAAAACATCCTCACCACCCAAACAAATTTTGGTATGGAACTATGGATACTGAAAAAATCCTCGTAAAAAAAAAAGTTAAATATCATCATTCTAGATTTTTGCTTCGAAAATAAAATTAATGATAATTTTAGCTTCTTATGAGCAACTGAGCAATAATCCGAGAGTGAGGCCCCATGTCAAGGATAGTGTGACTGGCGGAACTTTCCTTTCCGGTTTCCATTTACCTTTTTTTCTCCATGAAATATCAAACATGTCACTTTGTTGGCCTATTCAGGCCTCACACTTGAATTGAATTCGAGACGGCGACAAGTAAAAGAAAATATTTCCACTTTCTACCGTTGGATTGAACATTACGGTAGTTAGCCTTCTTGTGCTTACGACCCAATTTAAACGGATATTATCAATTCAACGAAGGGAAACAAAAGGAGAAAGATTGTGCATTTTCTTTTAAAATAGTCCCTTGCCTTTAAACTCTTTTCTGTTCTTTTATAAGTAAACACTCTAACGCGACCAAATATTAGTTCTACTAAAATAATAATCTTAATAAATATGGAACATTTAATACACGATAGAAAATCATAACCGTTCTATGGTTTAGAAGACATGATAAATCAACATGGCTTGAAATAGTTTACATAACATTCTTAAATACTTTACATCAATCTCAAGTCCACTAATGTCTAATGATGCTCAAACTCTCATATACGGAGTTGGAAGTCCATCGAGTTGCTAATCCTCACGACGAGCTATTCGATCTCATAGTATATTGTTGTGGCTGCTACAAGCCCTGAGTTTACATGTGAATCAGTCTTATTTTGAAAGAAAATGGACAATCTTTCAAAATTATTAACATATACATAACAAAAGACATGCATATTCAAAGCTAGGGGTGGCTATACGGTCCGGTCCGGTTAAATTGGCCCAAATTGATCCGGTCCAGTCCGGTCTTTTTGAAGATATAAGGACCGAAGATTGGATTGGATACAGTCCGGTCTTGATCCGGTCCGGTCCCAATTCGGTCTTGATTTTACATTGAGATTGTGGGATTTGAGTGGCCTAAGGCCTTAAAGGGTGAGGAGTTGGTTAAGTTTTGTACTAAGTGCAAAGGTTTGTGACCGTTTATGCAAATTACCCTTAAATTTTGGGTGTTGAGCTCTCTTATCCGGTCTTTATCCGGTTTTTTACCTCAAATCTAAGCCCAAAGATTGGATTGGATTGTTTACTATCCGGTTCCGGTCCGGTCTCGGTCCGGGTTATACGGTCCGGTTTCCGGTTTTTAATCCGGTCCCGGTCCAAATAGCCACCCCTATTCAAAGCTCTGTTATGTTATTAAGGGAGTAGATTATTAGGAATATTATTGATTTAGTTCTTAATGCATTGTATCTCTTATTACTTAACTTGATATAGGGTCTCGCCCTCGACTTAACCAGCGCCGCCATCTAACACTAACGTATAATGAAAATAACCTCATTATCTACAGAAAGTAGTGGTGAGCACGTCCGACACTAATCGTGACATAACATAATATGGGGTTTTCTCGCTATGGAAAACACTATACATAGTGCTATGTAAGAAACCATCGAGTACCTCATACATATCATAATGCATCATCTACAAGGTCTGCCTCGTCTACTAGGAGTAAGGTGATCATGTACAGTTAGTTAAGGGAGGGTACTTATTCTTACTTATTAACTTGATATCTTGTAGTTGTTTGCTTAACTTAATCTTTCACACCATGTAGAGATATAATTAACTCCATAACTTGCTTACTTACAACTTGAATTTTTGACCTTACATAAGGTGATCTCCCACAAAATGGTAAGATCTAAACTGGTAACTTGCTTAACTTAGTAGGTTGAACTTGTTTTGCTTAAAATATAACTGTGTGCTTGCTTTAAACAGTAGATTACCGATTCTTCTTGATGTAATGCATACTTAAAGTAAGGGTTGAGCGCATGGTTGTCATGCCGGCCAGCGTGCCACCGGTTGTACCGGGTTCAACCGATACCGGTCATAAAACCGGCGTGACACCACCGGTATGACCGGCATGATCGATATACGAATCTCTAAGTAAAATGACCTTATTTTAGTGATATTAATTGATAAAAATTATTTTATTATTTATTTTATGAGTATAAAAGTTAAATATTTATGTTATTTGTTGGATTCAAGTATAAATGTTGAGGTATTTACGTTAAATGTAATATTTAAATATGAGTATTTATAATTTTATTTGTAATATTGACCGGCATGAACCGGCACAAACCGGTATGTGTCACCGGTTGAACCATTCCACTTGCTAAACCGGCACACTGGCATAAACCGGTTTGACAACCTTGGTTGAGCGTTAATAACTTAACATGGATGCAAATAAAAAACAACCGAAGATCGAAAATGAATAACATGAGCTTAAAAGTCAAATTATATAGTGTTTGGAGATGGACAACTATGCGCTCTGATAAATCTATGAAAAAAATCGTTCTGTTAGATTTAATCATTTGAATTAAACTAGTCTCAAGTCGAGCACTTGTCACTTTTGCCTCCAAGCCCCCACACGTGTTACCCACTTTTGAACCCGCACTCATCAATTCCACATTCCTTAAGTACAAGATACTTCCTCTTAGGAGTGCGAATACAATTGAGGTTACGTGGCTAAATTACTAACTGGACCAAAGCTATGCAGTTTGCGGTTAACCGCAAATAGAATAAAAAGGGGTTGTCAATTAATGATATAGGTTGTTTTGTGGTTAGCGGTTTAACCGCAACCGAATAAGTGATAATTGTTTAACTAACCGAATAAGTGTCCATTTCCTCGTTCTCTTCACAACAGATGTCATCCTGACATTTGAAGACACTGACTGCTTCACCGCCTACAAACAAACAAAGATCAGTGATACTGAATTGGTATGATGTAGAGTTTCCTCGAAGCAAGCTCATGAATCTTGCCTGGTAGAAAGACTCGGTCATCTCCGGATTTCCACCATGATCGATCCCGAGGGCCTCCAAGAGTCATTGTGTCTCGGAGCCCTCGATTGGGAGGGGGGGGGGGGGGGAGACAGACATCACCGACAACGAGCTAGACACCCGTGCTTTTCCTGAAGCGGGGTTGTCGGGCACTACGCCCACCAGGGTTGGGGGTGCCCACCCTCTCGACACCAAAGCAGATCGGGCGGACCCACCATTGGCTCGGGAGCCCAAATTTTGGAGAGTCTCTAGCTAAGGCTCGCTCTAGCGCCACCACATCCAGACCCCCCGATGAAATGGGAAGTACATAATGGCTCATTAATGATCCTTTTCTTCTCGACCCCTCGACCTTAGCGATTCTCAAGCTTATGGGAACTCACGAATCTCTATTCCTGAGTTCGAGATACGGATCGGCTTACCCATGAAGCCACATCGCCATGTACGAATTCCATCATGCGCAACAACCACTCAATTGGCTTGGAGTTTGCTATCCTCCACTAACTAGCACTTCGACTACAATAAGATTCCTACGTTGGAACCCCTCCTGGGTATGAATCTAGATTCGCATTCCTCGTCACTTCTCCTCAATATCGAGATCCTTGCACTCCGGCGAAAAACAATGGTGAAGTGGATCAATGAGAAAGAGAAAAGGAAATTGAACAACTCTTCTTTCGGTTCGATTTCTACCTCTGACTTTGTTTCCGATTTTCTCTTGAAACTGAGTTGAGGTTTGATTGGAAGGATTGCATTTCATTTTTTACGGTAACTTTGGAATTAAGTTGCGGTGAGGCGGAAAATTAAAAATAATTATTTGTATATTATTTTTTAATTACCATATCATTAATAATGGACTTCAAATAAGGTAAATTTAACAGAATTTGACGATCAGTGATCAATGTTAAACAAGATTTAAAATAAGTGAATAATATGAATGATATGTTTTTTGGCTGTCAAATATGAAAAAATTCGATATATCGAGTGATTAGATACATAGGATTTGTTTGTTTCACCTTTTAGAATTTTAAATTTTTGTCACAAATTTTAAGTTTTACCGAAATGTGAAAACAAACGAACTTTATATATTTTCTCAAACTTAAACAAAAATCAGTATGTACTCCTTACAAATTACTTTATTGTGCATGAAATTACTTCTTTTATTTTTGTTGCAAAGTTCAATGGAGGTTCGAGCCTAAACAATCGAGTCGAGCCACGGGCTCGTAATCTGACCAATTGGAGGCATATTCTTTACGTGGGAGACGAGCAAAAGGCCAACCCGCAGAGACTGCTCTGACAACGGAAGATTGCAAGTTTTCATAATGGCACCGTTCGTAAATTCACAACACTTCTAATGGCAAACACAAAACCGGCCCTTCCCCTTCCAATTCTCGTTTTGTCCTCACAAGAAACGATGCGGTTCCGCTTCCCCGCTTCTATTAAAGCCCCCCACAACGTCCTTCCCTGGCCATTCCTCGTTTATCATTTTCTCTCTGATATTTTCCGCTTTTCGTCCATCTTTCTCTCTCTTAGGTTTTTCCTCCCTTGGTCTTCCTTCCTCTCTTCACTTTTTCATCTCGGAGCAGGAATCCATGGCGCAACCGGAGATCCACAATGGAGGTGCCGAGAAGGCTGAGGTGGTGGTCTCCTTCACCGCCGTCAAGCCTCAGCTGGTGGTGGAGGCACCTAAGGCTAGCGAAGCTGTCCAGTTCTACAAGGAGGCTTTCGGAGCTGTGGAGACTGGCCGCACCACGCACCCCAAGCGCAAGGCGGAACAGGAGCTCCCTCAGATCATCTCCGCTCAGCTTCAGCTCGCCGGTTCCACCATTCTCGTCTCTGATCTCGCAGACGATTCCGCTCCGTACGTCTCTCTCTCTCTCTCTCTCTCTCTCTCTCTGTGCGTGTGTTAAGTTCTTCCATGCGTTTGGTATTCTTGATGCTTCTCGTTGAAATATATTTTTCAGATCTCATTATCTGTTCGGTAGGACTCTGTTTTCTTGTTGTAACCTAGGGATTTACGTTTTGTTTGCTAGGTGAAATCAAACCTTGATGTTCTTTCTGGCAGCGACTTAGATACTCTCCTCTGCCATTCTCGATGCATTTAATCTGTACGGTGTATCGTACTGTTAGGAAGCCTACAGAGCAGTCTGGCTTTGTTATTTTGTTCGTTTTGATGAAGGTCTAGCATGAACAAACTGAATCGTATTTTTCTCGTCGTTCTAATATTCATTTGTTTATTCGTTGAGTTGATTCTACGCCTTTTTACTGATTTTGACGTCTTAGTGGAGGTGGTGTAGTATGATTTTGGCTTCGGTTTTTCGTTCATCTCTTTGTTACTTGCGATCGATTTTTTGATTTTTGCGTTTATCCGTTGTGCGCTATTGTTTTTGTCTTATCCTGAGTTGTTGACCCCGTTAGTCTGCCTTTATCTCTGCCTTGCGTACGTTATCCCTAATGTAGTCGTGGTTCCGGCCTTAGCCTCCTGTTTTCCACGGCCGATGGTTTCTTGGACTTGAGTGGTTTGATGCTTTCTGCGAGCCTCCGACCCTTAATCTTTTCGCCATTTCCGTAACGCTAATTTCTCCCGCTGCAAATTTCGTTCGTCTGTTTTGGTCCAGTGTGAAGGGCGTGGGAAGTGGACTGTCACTCTGCCTGGAGACGCAGGACGTGGAGGCAGCTGTCGCCAAGGCGGTGGCCGCCGGAGCTGTGGCGGAGGGGGAGATCGCGGAATCTGATGGCGCGTGCTGCGGTGGGCGCGTGGGGAAGGTGAAGGATCCCTACGGTTTCGTTTGGATGATTTGCTCACCCTCGGCAGCAGCAGCAGCAGCGAAGTGTGGTGATGCTGGCGTGGAGGCTTGATGGCCCTCGGATCTCTTGCTGCTGTTATCCTGACCGACCGTCTCTAGTTAGTAGTGCTGTTTAGTTTTTCGTTTTCGCGAGCTTGTTATCGTGGTGGGGACCAGACTTTTATCGGATGGTGTTAATTTTTAGCTGTTTAGGAGGAAGGTAGTAGCCTAGTAGGTGATATGATGAGGGCTCGTACTTAGGTATTGTGCCTCCTCTCTTTCTCTCTGGCGGGATTCTGACCAGTCTGGGTCGGTGAAATCTCAGTGGCATCCTTTTGATATCCGAAGCTGATGTGGTAAAATGATGTTTTGGTAATTTTGAACAGTCTGGGTCGGTGAAAGTGAAATCTCCTAAGCTACAATGGTTTTTAACCTAGAGTTACTCTAGTTGAATCTTGCATTGCCTGCCGCCTTGCTGGTATTTGATTTTTCAACAAGCTAACCTTCGGTTGTGGAGTAGGTACCAATCTGTGTTGTGGATATGGTAATGACTCATCCTTCATTGGTGGCAATGCGTCGGTAAACGGACGGTCTTTTTTTATTTATACAAAAGCATTAATCCTATCCGTAGGTTCCGAAGGAGTTGTGAAAAAAAAAAAATCTTGGCTCGCGGAATATCAGTGCTATTATTAAAGGAGGAGAGAGACCGGTTTGTTTGACGTTTCCACCATCAATTGGAGGATTGACACGTTTCATGCGCTTTTTGTGAGCTGAACCAGCAACAGAGAAATGGAATTGTTTAGTAATATATTCAAACTTAATTTTATTCTCTTTTCTTTGATTTTTTATTTTGAGACGGGACCACTGTTCTTGGGTTGCATACTTGCATTGCACTTTGCACATACAGAGGGAGAGGAGCAACTAGGTGGGCTTGGTGTGTCCTGCAACGGGCTACAATGTGCATTTTTTTGGGTTAGTTGGATAGGTTGTCACTTGATTAGATGGCAAAAACACCGTGGATAAAAATGAGGGCTAATTCTACTAGAACATTCGGACTATCAAACAAATGTGATTTCTGTTCTAAACTATTTAATATAACATTCATAACACAAACTATTTTTTCGTTTGTGTAGAAGAGTGTTGTGCCGTTAGGCTGACTCCAATGCAGCCGGCATTTATGAGTTATGACATTCTTGTCATTAATGGCGATAATCGCCATTTGGATCGCCAATAGTGGGGGGAAGGAAATGCCGATTCTCGGGGAAAATGGGGGACAAGGCGAGATGGTTGCGGTGAGCTGCCCGGGCTGGCGATTGTCCCCACCACCAGACCATTTTTTTAATACGAACTAGGCTCCAAACACACACAAAAGACACCATTCATCACACTTACATAATGAAACATTCCTCCACACTTAAGCACAACATTATCCTCCATGGAGGAAAGGTAAGGAGGGTAGAACAAAGTTATCAAACCAAGTATTAATGATGGTGGATGGTGCAAGAGGTGCATTCCATGGGGGAATTAGTAATCCGAGCACAAACACCAGATAAAATCTCACAAAGGTTGAGTTATTGACTCTAAAATCAAAAGAATGACTCAACCAAAGAGCAAAGGGAAAGAAAGTGCAAACCGACTGGTTGGGTTGCCTCCCAACAAGCGCTTCTTTCACGTTGTTAGCTGGATGGTGGCTCCTAAGTTTCGGTCACAGTAGAACCTCCTTGAAGTTGAGGTTCTCATCGATGAGTTGAAGTCTTAAGTCATGAGCATGTGGTGTATTAGTTGATGTAGTGCCATGATTTTGTCTTGATTGATTGATTTTCGCCTTTCCGGATTAACTTCCGAGGGAGTGGTGTTACAACCTTGGTCGATCGATTAAGAGGCTTAGGGTTTCCTAGCTAACTGTGACAATCATTAATCGATCGATCGAGAGGCTTAGGGCTTCCCTAGCTAATTGCGACCTCCTCACGGTATATGATCCTACTTAGCACAAGAATTTCATTTGTTGTATCTTGACATGAGACTAGGGGAGAAATAGTCGAGTGATGCTTTCTTAATCAAACTCACCAAAGTTTTCTTGTTTGATTTTCTTAGTCTTCTTAGCTTTAACCACAATCCGATCATTAGATAACGTTTGAACAATTGAAGTAAGGGTAGATAGATCACCTGGGTTGATATTGAAATATTTATCTTATCCTACACCTGTCTGTAGGTTGCACTTGGCCTGTAGTTGGGATTAAGTGTAGTGATACCAGAGTCAAGATCAAAGAAACAACAAACTGTTTCGAGGTCCTCTGATGAAGCAGAGTACAAGGCTGTTGCAGACACCTTACAACACTTCAGTGGATTAAATATCTTTTCAGAGGATTTCCCATAACTGCCTTATACCATCTATTGTGACAGCCTCTCAATAGTCAAGATGACCCAGAATGTAATCAAACACGAGTGCACAAAGCATATCGAGATTGACTTTCATTTCACTGAGGATCAAGTTCAAGTCAAGCATATGAAAGTTCTAACACATCTCCACCAAATTTTAGCTTGCAGATCCTTTCACCAAGGTGCTTTCAGTCCATGTTTTCACTGAATTGCTCTCCAGAATAAGCTTGAAGACGATCCATGCTTAGTATGCGGCGGGGCTGTCAGAGATTATGATCACACTTGATTATGATCAAATGGACTAAAGTGCACAAATTTACAAAGTCAGAGGATTACGAAGACAAGTTAGCAAGTTAGGAATTTCAACATGTAAATTCATTAATCAGATAGTTACGCTGGCCTAACAACTTTTCCCTCCTCTCTCTTCGTGCTAAACCCGTATGGGTATACAGGACAGAGCCCTAATTGTACAAGGCCGTAATCTCTCCCAGACTACTTGAACATAGTAGTGCTGCAATCAGTGCACTATTCCAGAAAATAGCAGAGTCCTGCTTGTGTAAGTAAGGCTGGACCAAGTCCCTCAACTTCAAAGTTTTCCTCCAAGTTTAAGAGTTGATCGAATTCAGCTTAATAGACCAGAGGTCACCCTTTTTTAAAATGATACGCACGCATCCAGGCGTCCCAAAGTGAGCTAGCTTCCATCTACAATAGCCAGAGCATATGAGCAGTTTATGCTTGATTCGAGAGATTAAGCCTCTCAGACCAAATCTTGAGAGAATACAGACTTTAAGCTTCTTTCGATATTCACAATTCACATTGAAACAATATATGTTTTTCTCTGGTTTCACATTGATTCTAAAAGATTTTAAGCCTCTTTTTATAAAATTTTAAGCTAGGTTAATGTGACTCGTCATTGTTTCTTACAACACAATCTCATCAAAGTTTCTGCATCTTAACATGAACATCCTCCCCAAACGAGGAGTGGTTGGATATAAACCGTACTGTTACATAACAACGTTACAGGCAATGCTTATGTTATGGGGCTATCTCTTGTCATAATTGGGCCGCTCAATTAGTACGATATTCTCCGCTTTGGGTCAAGCCCGCACGATTTTACTCTTGGGTGTCCTCCCCAAAAGGCCTCGTACTAATTGGGCTAGGTGAACTCTAATATACAAGAGTTTCTTCCCTTGTATTTCCGATATGATACTTGGATTGCCCCATAATAAGTCTGTTGATGTGACTCGAATCGGACTATCAGCCGCTACGACTGGTAGTCGGGGGTCTCGCTGCCCAGTGAGCGAGTGGGATTTATATAGAGGGAGGGAATGAGGCTAGGCCGCTTGGGGATTGGAAACCCGTGAATTGGAATTTTGGCGGGACTCTACTTCACGGGTGGAGAAAGTTTGGATTAAGATATGGTTTGGTAAGCTTTTGGGTTGTTTGAGATTGGCCCATTGGTTTTTTTTCTTCTTTCTGTTGGTGGACTGGCCAGCCTGTGGGTCGCTGAAATCCGTCGTGGGTGGGTTGGCCTTGTTGTCCGGAGCTAGGGGAAGCTTGTGGTGATCTCAGCATAAAAGGGCAAAATTACTTGATAGGACTTGATGTATAGTGTTCGACACTAAATGAAAACTTGTATTATCTTTGTGATTGTAGATGATTGTAATTGATGATGATACAAATTTAGATTTTAGTATTCAATACTAGATGTGGGCCCGCCCGTTGGCCGGATGAATAACATCGATAGTATAAATAGAATACAAAATGTTTGAATCAACTTACGTTGTTATTTGCTACCATGAGAGAATTCATATTATTCAGTTACACAGATATGAAACATAGATGATAAATTTATGGCATTACGATCATTCATAAACATAAGTTTTCGCCGGAAGTATAAAAAAACAACTCATGCAAGGAAATCCATTCCTAAAAATCATAATAAGTGCACTTCAATTCTCTCATGGTAGCAAATAAAAATCCATTCCTAAAAATCATAATAAGTGCACTTCAATTATTCCTCAAAGTAAGAAATTACTTCAAAATTTCTTTTGGAATTCTTTTGTGATTTCTCCGCATCAAAAGCATTATCTTCTTCACACGGCTTCGTCTTCACTAATAAAACTTTCATATTCACAATGCATCACTACTCTATCATTTTATCATGCATTTCCTCAAAAACAAACTGTAAAAGGTTAAAAATGTGAAACGTTATTTCAAACTACTAAAATTTACCTCATTCAAGTGATAAATATTATCAATAATTCGCTCTTTTCTTCAATCATTAAAATTTTTATATCCACTATCAATAATCTATTTCTTCTTCTCAACGACGTCATAATCTTATTACTGACTACCTCCACCAATAACAAACTCTTTCTTCCCAGAATTTCACTATAAGCAAAAGTTAACTCGTAAATGTTTTGCAGTAATGAAACACCATTTTCGAAAAGTTAAATTTTAGGGTTAATATATTTGTATGCCCTGAACTTTTCACATAATAAACATCATGGCCAATCTTTTCGATCTATAACATCCTGGCCCATACTATACATCAAAGTAACGAAATTGGCCAAATCCGGTGTTTGACCGTTATCTTGGATGATTAAACGTGTTGACTAACGGTCAACGCGCCAAATCACTGCCAAGTCATCAACTTTCACTTAAATTTTTTAATATTTTCGATCTATTACCATTTTTCCTTTTCTTGGTTCAAAATGAAAACAAATTTTCTTTCTTCTTTTGGTTCAAAATGAAAAATAAAAGCGCAATAGGTGGGAAAAATATTAAAAATTTTAAGTGATTAGTCAATGTGTTTGACCATCCAAGATAACGGTCAAACATCGGGTTTGGCCAATTTCGTTACTTTGATATATAGTTTGGGTCAGAATGTTATAGACTGAAAAGATTGGCCAGAATGTTTATTATGTACAAAGTTCAACCCTTACAAATATATTAACCCTAAATTTTATACTCAATCAATATGGAAAATCAATGTAATTTTTATACACATAATTGACACAATTTTTGTGTGCAAAGAAGATTGAAATCCAAAATTTTAGTAGGGAAATGGTTAGTTTCTGTTTGGCTCTGCTCTAAGT